TCGGTGACTAGCAGAGCAAGCTAGAATGACCGTTAGATTACTTCAAGAAAAGTTTGTGATCGTTTTCAAGCGTAACAAACTTTTTAAAGAAACCATTGTCATTGGTCACTAAATTTTTTATTTTATTTTTCCTCTATAAATATCTCACACTTACAAATTATTTTTTCACACAACGATCAAAAATACTAAATTCTCTCTTCTACATTCTTTCTACAATCAAAATATCAAATTACTATCAATTCTATTCTATTACACTATTCATTATTACATACAATCTATTATATACAGGATAAACATGTTTGTATCGAGGGGGGGTGTACCGAACCATGTCCCCCCCATCACAAACATACGGGCCCCATGTGTAATTTAATAATCCGAACCAAGGTCCCACTCAAATGATGTGAGTAGTAGGTAAATGATTATATACGTGTAGTACGGTCTTTATATACATATACACATTCTATTATATTCAAATTTCAATTCTATTATATATGTTCTCTCAATTCTATTCTCTACATTACATCTTACATTATTCAATTTACACATTTCATCTTTATTCTCTACACCATATTATACATAACTGATACACATATATCCTTGTGATTTTATTGAGTGTTTGTTTGGTGGCTGCTCACCTATGACGCCATAATGTCAATTTCTCAATGAATTTACCGGTCTCAACGATGTTCCCATCCCCGATGATTTATTAGGAATGGACATTGATGATGCTCATAGAGGTAGTAATCCAATTGATTTAAATGACATCGGTGAAAATGCTAGCAAAGCAAAACTACAAATTCTCAATGTAAGGGGAAAAAAGTTGCATAGTGTTGGGAATACTTTAAATTGGTTTCAATGGGTCGTACCATTGATGAAGTCGGAGAGTTTAAAAAAGTTTAAAAATGAATTTCAAATCTATTTTCAAATTTCAATTTAATTTATTATTTAAACATTCCACTTCTACAACTTTATACATTTTATGTTCATACAATTCAATTATTTAAAGAAGATTCTCAGGAAGTTGGAGATGGCACTGATAATATGAAATTGAACAAGGAAGAAAATGTTCATTTAAATAAGAGTGGTTTAGAGGAGAAAACAAAATGAGGTTTGACTTTTACAGCAAGCTTCGTTGACGATACATGAAATTTGAGGACTCTTTGTTTTTGGAGGTTTGATTTAAAAAAAAAAAAAAAAAATTGTAAATGTAACAAGCTATTCGTGTGCAATTTCAACTTCGTGCTATTTAAAAATAAGTAGCAGATTCCAAACCAATGGAAAAGGCGGAGTGTTTTTTTTTTTTTTTTTTTTTTTTTTTTTTTTTTTTTTTTTAAGTTGAGCTCCAGATCTAAATTTGGCTCGGCCCACAAGCTATGAGATCAAGGGCCAAACTTGGCCCTTGGGAGACAAGCCGAGCTTGACTCGGCTCTTTGATAAGCCAAGCTCGTGTGTAACGGGCTCGAGTTAGCTCGGCTCCACCCATTTCCACCTCTAGCTACATGGATGCATGATATGCATATCGAGACATGCACAAATGTTGTAAACAAAATGGTGGGCTCCGATTAATCAAAATGGGGGAGAATTCGTAATGTGAATTCTTGAACTCATTTGACAACCATTTTTACATAATTTCCTTTTTCTCTCTTCTTTTGAAATTCATTTTCAATCACACATTCTTTAAATAAAATATTTTGTATGTAAACCCAAAATTTTTAAACCCAAAAATTTTCCTATCTTTTAGCTATACATTTAAAAAAAAAAAATCACTATTTCAAAACTCATTTCCCAAAAAAAACTCTTTATAATGGTTGTCAAAGAGGGCTAAAATTTTCATGATTACACTGTTTGCGGTCATTACTCACAAGTAGTCCTTTCATACATTTAGGGACCATTTAATTGTAAAGATGAAATTGAATTGAAAACGAATTCCAAGGGATTGAATTGCTCATAAATTATTTTTCTAAAAATTGTAAATTATTGTGTTTGATTGGGATAATTTTTCATGTGAAAAATGTTGAAATAAAAGTGTTTTTGGATCTTCGTTTGACTTTGTTTTACATGAAAATTATCAATTAAAGGGATAGATTTTACTGGTATTGGGGATAAAATTTGTTTCCATTGCCAACACACAAAAAAAACAAAAATTTCAAGAAAATCATCTTATCTTTTGGTATTCGTTTGACTTTGTTTTACATGAAAATTGCCATTTAAAAGGAAATATTTTTTTACAATAATTCTTAGAATTTGTTTCCATTACAAAATAATAATAATAATAATAATAATAATAATAATAATAATAATAATAATAATAATAAAGTGCTACAGTAATCGAGAATTCCAATTCTTACCATTTCAAGGAAAACATGGAAATTAGCTTAGGTGACATAAAATGTGGAATTCAAATTCTAGGGAAAATTTTGTCAATCAAACGGCAAAAAATTGGAAAGATGGAATTTAAATTCCATTTTTTATGAAATTGGGGTACAATCAAACATAGCCTTATTGTATTTGATTGATTATAATACTTTCAGGTCATGGAGTTCATAATAGAAAAATGATAATCTGCATCGCACGAGTGTCATCATATAGTGCTCTACATTAACATTAAAATTTGCTTGATGTATATACTTCCGGTGAAATGTAAACGTAATATACTCCTTAATTTCTGCCAACCTCTTTTACACAATCATAGCTTTCTTCCATGAAAGCGCAGTGCCTCCGACCCCATCTCGGATTGGTTGCAAAACTAAAACGAGTGGTGGCGGCAGAGAGAGATTCTTTTAAAATAATCGTTGTGGTGGTTTGAATGGAGCTTTTCTTTGAGATCTTTTAAGGTCGAAGGTCACAGTTTGGAGATGCCCCCCACACCCCCCCCACCCCAAGACTACAGGGAAACCTCTAACGTCCGAAGTGGGACCTACAATATGGTACCTATAATGGGCCCTACATTACCTCTAAATTTAGGTGGTTGGTTCTACTGGAAGCCAAAGACCCACACAAAAAGGCACTGTTTGCTATGTTACAAAAATTTTCCATGCATTTTGGACCCGAACTCGTCCTACCACTTCATATAAAATCATCATTTCCCAACCCTTTTTACGCAAACAATTTCTTTACCTTGTTCGTATTCTCCTCCCTTTCTATCTTTTTCACAATGTTCCTCTCTCTTTGCCCTTTCTTGCCTTGTTCATCATCATAAAAGAAAGCTACGTACGGAATTTTACACTACGGAATCTTAGTCTTAAATTTAGGCAGGAGCGAGGATTCCTGCACGTAGTACTCTTGTTATTACTACGTACTTCTCACCTTGCTAGTTCATGATGTCCGAAGATATGAATTTATCTGTAAATGGTCAGTCCAAAGTGCCTCCAGGATTCCGTTTTCATCCTACTGAGGAGGAGCTTTTACAGTATTACTTGAGGAAGAAAGTAGCTCACCAGAAGATTGATCTTGACGTCATTCGTGATGTCGACCTTAACAAACTTGAGCCATGGGATATTCAAGGTAAATTTAAGCAGTGTAATTCAATCTTTCCTACCCGATATGTCAAAACAGTTTATTTTCTCCTCAATTGAATTGTTTTTGAATGATGTTCAGAGAAGTGTAAGATAGGATCTACGCCACAGAACGATTGGTATTTCTTCAGCCACAAGGATAAAAAATACCCCACGGGGACTCGAACAAATCGTGCGACTGCTGCCGGATTCTGGAAGGCTACTGGTCGTGATAAAGTGATACATAGTAATTTCCAAAGAATTGGAATGAGAAAAACACTGGTGTTCTACAAAGGACGAGCTCCACATGGACAGAAATCAGATTGGATTATGCATGAGTATCGGCTTGAGGACGATACTAATGACCCCAATGTATGTCTTCTCTATATTTTTTCCCCCAATTTGAGTGCTTAATTAAAGGTCATTTTTCAATTCTTTTTGTGTTTATATACAATGAAGCTTCTAGGGATGTTTTCTTTCTTCATTTCTTTCTGCAACATTTGTTCATTTTATCCCTATTTGAGTCTTTAACAAAAAATTTCCTAAGGGGTCTTTTGAGCATTATATGCTCTGTTACGGTACAGGGAATTTGAGCCGTGTCTTAAATTATCAATCTCGTTAAAATGAGTAATTCAACCCTTTATATGTTGTGTATTTTGTTATTATCAATTTTTGACACGGAATTTACAATAACATGCCCGCAAGTTGTTGCAATTCAATTCTTTGTTTAGCTTTTAAGCAAATTTACTTGTTCGTTTGAGTTTAACATACTCTGATATTATATTATAGCTTGAATTTCATATTCAAAAGTAACATATATCATTATATACTTTTTATTTATTTTAATTTTTATTTGATGTGTGATTTATCTTTAGCACCACTATGGAAAGCGTGATGCTTGGTTAAGGTAGTCAAGTTTTGTTTGATTACGTACTATGAAATATTTTGATCACTAATTGCATATTTGAGAAACACTTATAAGACTATATGGAATACTTAATAATGGACAAGGTCATAATTATAGTAGTATCAAGTGCTGTCTAAATATTCAACTGATCATTCATGTCATATGTTTTCTACCTTTTCTCGTATAATTCATTTTCAAAAAATTGCAAATCCAGACAGGTAATCTAGTGGGGGATATGTCGCCCGAAGATGGTTGGGTGGTTTGCCGAGTTTTCAAGAAGAAAAATTACCACAAAGCTTTAGAGAGTAATTCGTCCACTTCAATCTACTCGAGTAGTAGTGTTCCAGTACAAAATTCGAATAATGACGGCTTTCTTGATCAGATACTTATGCACATGCGACAACCGTGTAAGAAAGAACACGGACTAATGATTAATAACAACAACATCAACAATAATGACGAAGATGAAGTCGAGGATATGCAATTCGTCAATCAAATGAAATCAACGATCAACGATGAATTTCATCCTGGTTTTCTGCACCTTCACAGATTGGAAAATCCAACATTTCCATCACTTTCCACCATTAAATCAGCTTTCAGTACGGATCAAGATTGCAGCAATTTCAAAGCAGCATGTGAACACCAACCTATGGACTATAATTTGATAACAGATAATATTCAAACTTCTTGCACAAACCAAAATGGCAATTCTGTTGATGATCTTAAAACTGGGCGGGCAGACTGGGTGGCGTACGACCGCCTGGTGGCGTCTCAGCTCAATGGCCAGGCCGAGACATCGAAACAACTTTCGTGTTATGGTGATCCAAATGACAACTTCTGTTTTTCTCTAGAGGATCACGAGGTACAATTAATGAGATCAAATCAAATTTCTGGGACCGACGAAAATTTTTGGACCGTTTCTCAATCACCACCACCACCACCGTCATCAGCTAATCCATTGTCCCACTTGTCGGTGTAATAGTCGATATCTATTGTACTATTATATATTTTTCGTAAGATACTTAGATCCTAAAGAGAAATAGCATGGAATTTATCTATACATAGATATGCATGTTAGTCTATAACTTAATCAAATATCTTATATGAGTGCCTCAATTCGTCAAACATAGCATCTTTACGAACAAAGTTTTCTATTGCAGCATCATTGTCTACGTAGGAAGATCATTTTCTACCTATAATTATGATACTCAGGTATTGCCCGAATTCGTTATGCTAAGAAAAAAGGTTCAATAATTAGATACACCACCCATATTCAACTTTAATTTAAGTATCAATTATCCTTTTCAATTCTGAGTTGGCTTTTCCCATGTTAATCATCAATTTGCTATCGTGCTCTGGATTGAAGAGATATGAGGAGGGTTCCACACAATTTTGCTTAGAGCCCTAGTAAAGATTCTAATAAAAGTTGGCACAACCTTTTAGAAATTTATAAGAATATTTACTGTAATTAATTCAGCACGAGAATAATGAACGAACAATTAAAAATTGTAAAGTCTTTTGTCTCTTTCAAGTCTAATTCCATATCTAATGGAGATTCTAAGCCAAATACAACAATCTATGAATGTTTGTCTTAATCTTCTCTAATTATGGATTATTTCATGGCACTAATTTGTCTTGAAATGTTTTATTGTTTATCCTCCAACGCACTTGTACATACGTACACTATTTTACGAGAATAAATGGCTAAAAACAAAAATTTATTGTCAAACCAAACGAGTTGAGTTGACATCAATATAACTATGTTTTGTATTATCTTCAAAATTGAGAACAACACCTTATTTTTTGTATTAAGATGTGCCACCTAACTTTTTTTGTACTTGTTAAGGATTTCTGTCGTATGTTAATGGCATTAATGTTGTATTTCCCCAAACATTAAAGAATTAAAGCTTTTCAAGAGGGTTCCCAGAATGATATTTAGGAGTTAATTATTTTGTCTTCGAATAGTGTGATGACAGCCACAAATCTTACACCAATATAATGGGAAAAAAATTGACACAGGTCTCTCTTCTTCATCAATTTAACACAATAAAAACTAGTCAATCTTTTTTATTTTTTTATTTTATTTTATTTTTTCATTTAGAGTATAAAATAGAAACGTGGGGTATGTTGTGTTGAGGCAGGGTTTACCGACATTGAAAGACATCCGATTGAGAATTCATAACTGTTAAAATATTCGATGGTACAAGCTTTGTTTGTGGGCTCTCGAGGTTTGAAAGTAACACAAGACTCCATGTTAATGTCTTTTTCCAGTGTTGCTGTTAATCATGATTAAGTAAGACAATTAGGCCACGAATTTCTTCATGTATTGTCCCTCTTTATTCTTCCATATTTCACTTTCTTCTACCCAATGAAAGCAACTGCTTAACTCAAACCCGAAAGTTTCAATCATTGGGAAAAAAAAAGGAAAAAGAAAAGAAAAAATGAAAAAAAAAAAAAGGAAAAGAAAAAATAGGGTTACATATGCTGTAATTTGTCAAAATATTTTGCCAGAAAAAATTGCATACACGTCAAAATATTTACCTAGACCGGATTTATGTTGTACTTTTAAAATATTTAAAAAAAAATCAATATTTTTTCAATTCAGTTTCGTATTATTTCATATTTGGGTAAATTGCCCCCTAAAAACTTAGAGCTACATATGATACACATTGTCAATCCTATATGATAAATAATAGAGGGTTTTTCTTGGTGTATATAATTATTTGTACATCAAGATGTTCCACAGTCATATGGGATGTGGTTCACTCATATAAAATATTCGAGTGGCCCTACCTCATGTGAATGTATAGATACCGTAATGTACAAAAAATTATGCACAAGAAGGTTTATCCTCAAAAATATCCCATTGTAGTTGTTGGTCCGGATTATTTTTATCTGACTAGTTAGTTCTCTCATAATCAGTCCATGTTAAATTAACTCATCCAATGAAATGGTTTAGATCGTATTATTTGTTATTTATAATTGAAGTGATGAATAATAGGGGAAAAAATTGCGCGAGTTCACTTATAAGAATAAGTTAGCTCAAAGGTAAAAAGTTTAGTAATTAAAAAAAAAAAAAATACTACTAATAACTAACAAATTTACTTATAAATATAAAAATCATTTACTAGATAAAATTTACTTTTATGTAAAAACAAAATTACTTGTGTTGAGGTTATTTCACATCGATTGTGGAAGGCGCTAGCGATCAATTTATATGTGTAAAGAAAATCCTCATCTCTTAAGTTTGTTTTTTGGGTTGAGAATGTTTAAGACCACCCAATATTGATGTCAGAACCCAAGTTATCAATATGTCTAATAACTTAATCAAATATCTTATATGAGTGCCTCAATTCGTCAAACATAGCATCTTTACGAACAAAGTTTTCTATTGCAGCATCATTGTCTACGTAGGAAGATCATTTTCTACCTATAATTATGATACTCAGGTATTGCCCGAATTCGTTATGCTAAGAAAAAAGGTTCAATAATTAGATACACCACCCATATTCAACTTTAATTTAAGTATCAATTATCCTTTTCAATTCTGAGTTGGCTTTTCCCATGTTAATCATCAATTTGCTATCGTGCTCTGGATTGAAGAGATATGAGGAGGGTTCCACACAATTTTGCTTAGAGCCCTAGTAAAGATTCTAATAAAAGTTGGCACAACCTTTTAGAAATTTATAAGAATATTTACTGTAATTAATTCAGCACGAGAATAATGAACGAACAATTAAAAATTGTAAAGTCTTTTGTCTCTTTCAAGTCTAATTCCATATCTAATGGAGATTCTAAGCCAAATACAACAATCTATGAATGTTTGTCTTAATCTTCTCTAATTATGGATTATTTCATGGCACTAATTTGTCTTGAAATGTTTTATTGTTTATCCTCCAACGCACTTGTACATACGTACACTATTTTACGAGAATAAATGGCTAAAAACAAAAATTTATTGTCAAACCAAACGAGTTGAGTTGACATCAATATAACTATGTTTTGTATTATCTTCAAAATTGAGAACAACACCTTATTTTTTGTATTAAGATGTGCCACCTAACTTTTTTTGTACTTGTTAAGGATTTCTGTCGTATGTTAATGGCATTAATGTTGTATTTCCCCAAACATTAAAGAATTAAAGCTTTTCAAGAGGGTTCCCAGAATGATATTTAGGAGTTAATTATTTTGTCTTCGAATAGTGTGATGACAGCCACAAATCTTACACCAATATAATGGGAAAAAAATTGACACAGGTCTCTCTTCTTCATCAATTTAACACAATAAAAACTAGTCAATCTTTTTTATTTTTTTATTTTATTTTATTTTTTCATTTAGAGTATAAAATAGAAACGTGGGGTATGTTGTGTTGAGGCAGGGTTTACCGACATTGAAAGACATCCGATTGAGAATTCATAACTGTTAAAATATTCGATGGTACAAGCTTTGTTTGTGGGCTCTCGAGGTTTGAAAGTAACACAAGACTCCATGTTAATGTCTTTTTCCAGTGTTGCTGTTAATCATGATTAAGTAAGACAATTAGGCCACGAATTTCTTCATGTATTGTCCCTCTTTATTCTTCCATATTTCACTTTCTTCTACCCAATGAAAGCAACTGCTTAACTCAAACCCGAAAGTTTCAATCATTGGGAAAAAAAAGGAAAAAGAAAAGAAAAAATGAAAAAAAAAAAAAGAAAAAAGAAAAAATAGGGTTACATATGCTGTAATTTGTCAAAATATTTTGCCAGAAAAAATTGCATACACGTCAAAATATTTACCTAGACCGGATTTATGTTGTACTTTTAAAATATTTAAAAAAAAATCAATATTTTTTCAATTCAGTTTCGTATTATTTCATATTTGGGTAAATTGCCCCCTAAAAACTTAGAGCTACATATGATACACATTGTCAATCCTATATGATAAATAATAGAGGGTTTTTCTTGGTGTATATAATTATTTGTACATCAAGATGTTCCACAGTCATATGGGATGTGGTTCACTCATATAAAATATTCGAGTGGCCCTACCTCATGTGAATGTATAGATACCGTAATGTACAAAAAATTATGCACAAGAAGGTTTATCCTCAAAAATATCCCATTGTAGTTGTTGGTCCGGATTATTTTTATCTGACTAGTTAGTTCTCTCATAATCAGTCCATGTTAAATTAACTCATCCAATGAAATGGTTTAGATCGTATTATTTGTTATTTATAATTGAAGTGATGAATAATAGGGGAAAAAATTGCGCGAGTTCACTTATAAGAATAAGTTAGCTCAAAGGTAAAAAGTTTAGTAATTAAAAAAAAAAAAAAATACTACTAATAACTAACAAATTTACTTATAAATATAAAAATCATTTACTAGATAAAATTTACTTTTATGTAAAAACAAAATTACTTGTGTTGAGGTTATTTCACATCGATTGTGGAAGGCGCTAGCGATCAATAATCCAATAAGAGCATACGTGAACTGCTGCAACGACACCTATGAGCTACTGTTGCAATTTGCAGCCCCCAGGGCACGTCTCCAAGTGGTAAAAGGGGAGGGTGGAAAAATCCGGCTTTACTTGAGGTTTTATATGTGTAAAGAAAATCCTCATCTCTTAAGTTTGTTTTTTGGGTTGAGAATGTTTAAGACCACCCAATATTGATGTCAGAGCCCAAGTTATCAATATGTCTGTGGGTAAGTGCAAGTGTACAAGCAGTTTTCCACCCTGTACCCTTGGAGGCATAACCTGCGATTTACCTCCCTCACGATACTCCAGGGTAGAGGCTGTGGGGGACCCTTAAGATTGGGGTTCAACCTTTTTTTTCAATGATATGTTCAAAACTGTGGAAAGTTATCAAATAAACAAGCAACGAATATGAGCTAGTGTACTTCCAAATCTCATCATTGAATCCAATAAGAGCATACGTGAACTGCTGCAACGACACCTATGAGCTACTGTTGCAATTTGCAGCCCCCAGGGCACGTCTCCAAATGGTAAAAGGGGAGGGTGGAAAAATCCGGCTTTGCTTGAGGCTGCTGTGTCAAAGATTCGAATCCTGAAATATGGATTTGGCTCTTGGGTAAGTGCAAGTGTACAAGCAGTTTTCCACCCTGTACCCTTGG